AATTTTTAACTTCCCAGCAGAACCATGGATCAACTTTACACAATACTCAAATTATGTTGCTAAACCAAAAATCATAATTTCAACGTCCAAACAGAATCATGAATCACAATAAAACTTATACAATATACATTTAAGTCACTCCCAAAAGCAAAATGCTCAAACTAAATAACAAATATTTCATCAGATCCAACAAACAAATTCATACTACGTAAATTAAAATAACTACATGAATCCAACAAACACATCATAATGCTTGTAGTAAGTATAACCTCTCCCAAAAATCTTTTAATATATTCATATACACAATCTAATATGCTGAGATGTTGATTCTTCCTACATAAAAAATAAAGTCAAATTTCTATTAAAATATAATCGAATATAATTAAGTTATAAATAATTGCAATTGATTAAATTTATATCTTTTGTTTTTTCTTCAAGGCATACTTATTATATTTTAATTTATTTGAAATAAATAGTACAATATAGGCCGGTCTGTAGGCTTATAGGCCAGGTCTTGTGAAAATGGGCCTACGGCCTTTTTATTAAACAGGCTTTTTCAAAGCCCAAGTCCGGCTTGTTTAACGAAATATACTAGGTCTGGTCTGGTCTGACGTAGGCCGAGCCGTAGGCCCCTGTAGGCCGGCCCGGCCCAGTTTCACCCATAGCTACCAACAATTGTTCAAATGTTTTCCCACCCATTAAAATTCAAATTCAAAATTAAAAATTAAAAATTAAAAATTCAAATTCAAATTTGAAAATCAAGATTTCAGAAAGTAATGAGACATTAAATGAGTTGTCTGCCACCAACAATTGTTAACATATTTTTTCAATTGAATTTAATTACAAATTCGATTTTATTTAATATATTTTTATTTTTATTCTTTTTTAGCAAAGAAGGAAATGTTTTAAATATTTTGTAGTGTGAACACAAACCTGAAAGTGAAGGAGAAAACGACACGTCAGCAAACTTGTCAAAGAATGAGTTTCTTTTAGAATATTAGATACTTCAAAAAATTAAATTGAATAAAAGTCGTGCTAGATGTGCATGATTTTGTTCAAAGAATTTTATAAAAACAAATTATAAATTGTGAGTGAGTGTTGGAAATTGACAATCACACACAAATCGCAAATGAAAAGAGAAAGAGAGAGAATTGACACAGTGATTTATCATGGTTCTCTCAATTTAAGTTACGTCTAGCTTGTCTGTACTATATTCACCTTACCGTCACTGGTTACAAGTCATTCAGTTTACAAAGAAAATATAAATAGAATTAAAAAAAACTTAATAGCAGAGCAACTATTCACGGGTTCAAGCTCAAATTGCTAAGAAAAGAAAAAGATACAATAAATCAGAGGCCCACGATAGTACCTAATCTCTACGGGCCTGGGGGCGCTGCCTCCCAAATCCCCACTGGGATGGCTTCCCCGGCCCTCACCTGCTCAACAATCTTATCAGCATGCGAAGTATGAGCTATATCTAACAGTGAGACCTAAAGGTGGCAATATGGGTTGAGCTCGGCGGGCCAACCCGCCAAAACGGGGCGAGTTGGGTTGAGGTTTTCAACCCACCAACCCACTCAACCCGCCCCGCCTAGAAGTGGGTCAAAACGGGTTCAACCCGTCGCGGGGCGGGTTGACCCGCCGGGTTATAAATTTTATTTTTTTTATAATTAGGTATTATTTCATTAGTCCTTAAATTTTTGTGATATCCAAATTTTTTTTAATCTTAGTACTTCTTAAAAAAAATAAAAAATAAAAAATTTATTTATGACAAATGTTATCTAAATATAAGTTCCTAAAGAATGTTTAACAAATATTAGTATACATTTAAGATTGAGACTAAAAAATATAGAGAAGTGTGAAATAAAATAAAATAATATTAGAAAAATTCATAAAATATAATTTATTTTAAATTTTAATTATTATTTTTTAATTGGCGGGTTGGTGGGTTGACCCGCCAACCCACCATAAAACGGGGTGGGTTCATTTTTCCAACCCATATTTTTTGGCGGGTCAACCCGCCCCGCCCTGTTTTTGGCGGGTTGGTGGCGGAGCGGGGCGGGTCGGGGCCGGTCAACCCAAATTGCCACCTCTAGTGAGACCTCACGACTTTGTGCAAGTTATACTATTTCAATAATTAAAATTAAAAGTTAAAACAAATTAGTGAAAAAAATAGACAAAGTTAACCATACAAATAAGGAAGCCTAATATTTTCCAAAAGACAAATGCTAAAAACTGAAGCATGGTTAAACTTTCCGACAAACTAAATGAGATAAAAGATGGCTATAACCAATTTAAAATTTCCAAAATAAATTTTTTTTTTTTTTGAAAAAGTAGTTAATTTATATGAAAAAGTAAGAAGTCAATTGTTGAACAACAAAAAAAAAAAAAAAAGCACACATCAATTTAAAGGATTATTAACAAGATGTTTAATGCTTCAATATTAGAAATATGGATAGAAGTCATAGGGAGTTAGGGGTATTAATAAGGTAGCTGGGTTCGCGTAAGTTGAACAAAGTATAGAGGACATGGTACACAAAGAGACTTTGATTAATTACTGCCACCCATTTGAGGGTGATATGGAAAATGGGATGCAACTGTCTCTCTTTTAGATGATAAGGAAATCATAGTAATTGATTATGGGATAGAGGCATAGAGCACATGCATTGTCATTTGTCAGACCAAAAATATTTAGGGGCAAGTGTGCAGATACAGAGTGGCCATACCCGTAAGAAAGAAAATTTATACGGATCGAGTGCATCGCTGATGTTAAAATTTTATATGATTTGATTATGTGAAATTTTTGTGTTTATTTATTTATTCGCATGTATTAAATAAGTGGGATTCAATTATTATTAATAAGAAAAGAGATAGATATAAATTTTGAGTTTTACTTTTCATCTGTCACATAAGACAGATTCGTTTCCTGCACACTGAAAAATAATATTGGATCTATTTAATTTTTTTTTTCTATCTTATTTTGGTGGGTCCCATTGTTGGTTTGTGAGTGTGACATAAGAGAGAAATTTTCCTACAAAATGAGACTAATAAACCTCATAAATTTTTATGGGTTTAGTGGATGTTTATTTCTTTTAGTGACTTAGACAAAATTTGATCAATCAGACTTTGTGTAAATTTGAAAAGTTATTTTTTTCACTTTTTATGTCAGTGATGTGACTGGGGAGAGAAAAAAAAATAACTTTTCAGATTTACACAAAATCTTACTGATCAGACTTTGCGAAATCACTTAAAAGAACACAAGCTTATATCTTTTAAAAAGATTTTTTTTTTCCAATTTTTATATTATCAAGTCATGTGAAATTTTAACATAACAAAATATATTCTCATGACCCATGGTGACTCTAATTAATAAATAATTTTGTTTCACTTTAATTTAAGACAGTACAAATGGGTGGCAGCTCCCAGCAAAATATATTCTCATGACCCATGATGACTTTAATTAATAAATAATTTTGTTTCACTTTAATTTAAGACAGTACAAATGGGTGGCAACTCCCAGCATATTGCTAGTTTTCAATATATGAGGACACCATCCGAAAGCAAAAGGGTTGGGTTAGTCCTTTTCAATGTTATCAATGTTCAGAAAAATGTGGTACCATATTTGGTCCAGATATAGATAGGAGCAAGGCGTAAATATTTTTTAATAGTCCAGCCGCGTTCAAAACTTGGTGTTCTCTTTCAAAAGATCAATTTTTTCTTTTTTTTCTTTTTTCTTTTTTTGGTAAACTCTTTTTCTTTTTATCCATATCATTTTTCTCTTTTTTATTTTTACCATCTCATTTACACAAAGGAATCACCCTATTGTTGGTGGTTTCGGAACATAAAAAATCCTCTCGAGCTACGCTGCTTTCACTTTTAAAAGAGATTTGTACGAAAACAAATATTTTAAAATTATAAAAGATATATGTAAAATTTTTAAAATATAAATCAAAAGAAAAATATTTAAAAATATGAAAATATATAATTAATTTAAAATTAAAAATTTAAAAAAAATAAATATATTATATATTATTCTGAAAAAAAAAAAGGAAATTAAATTATTGGATTAAGTACACTTACCACTATACTAAAATCTATAATTATTAATTACAATGCAACTCTTTTTACTTACCCTTATCGGCCCAAGCATTATGGTTTGATAAAAAAAAAATCTTAATTTCGTATATAGGACATCAATGAATTTAACTTTTAATTACTGATGGAACCAACAACCATTTAAGAGGTAAAAAAATTATTTTCTTTTTTCAGAAATTTCGAATTCAAGGCCTAAGATAGTATTTGGAGAGCCACCCCAATATTCATCTCGTTTTACTCTAATAATTAAAATTTAAATATTAAATCTTAAATCTTAATTAATGTATTTTACCTAATGCTTCACCCATTAAGATTATATCCACCTATTACAAGAAAAATTATATCCTCTCCCTTTCCAAATTCTCATTTTCATGAGTTACAAGTAATATTTGAGTTTATCTACAATTTTGCAAATATAAAAAATATTATTTTTAGCAAGCACTGAAAGTAACGTAAGATAGGAATTAATAAATATTGGTTAGATTTCATATTTACAGTGTACTATTCTAGACATGTGTACCATAAGAGGAAGGGAAAAGTAGATGCAATCATAAATGAATAAGGTGAGAAAATAATAACTACCCATCTGTTTGAATTAAATTTTGGAACCAAACTCATATGATAAATGGTACTACTTAGTGTTAACTTGTCACCCCCTCTTCTTTAGGAACCTCTCTATCTGACTCCAATTTCCCATCTGCCTCTGACTTCTCCATCCTTCGATCAGTCCCACAAACTTGAACATATTACTCATGCTCTCTATCTCTCTTTTGCTCTTTTTTCTTCACATTTTGAGTCCCATTTGTGTTATCTCTTTCACATTATATATAACTAGCATTTTGCGTAGAGAGAGCAAGAAAGGAGGAATGGATGGAAGCATAAAAGAAGAACTACAAGATATGATGATGAGTGATGATTTGCACAACATTTTTATGTCCAACATGGATGAGGCACCTGCTAGGCGTCATGCTCGCGAGGCTTTTAAGGATGTTCAGCTTGCCATTGATCACTGCTTGTTTCAGGTGATGTGTGTGTGTGTTTTTTTTAAAAAAAATACACACTTGAACTCCAAATAAATAAATAAAAAAGGAGAAAGAGAGAAAGAATGAAGGATATATGGTAATAAGTTTCGAATTTGAACTTTGGGAATAAAAAAAAAAATTTAGAAGAATCGTCAAGTCCAACAATATTTAAATTGGATTAATCTCCATCAACATATGAATATATTTAAAAATTATATATCCATATATTGATAAAGATTAATCCGATTTCCTGTTATAGTCAAGAAAAAAACTATCTTTATACGTGTTTTTATTTTTTTTAATAATGTAATGAATCGTAAATTTGTGTGAAATTTTAATAAAAGCATTATTTAGCATTTTCATAAAAAACTAGTGGGTTGAAATCTAACAATATATAAAAATAGATATAATTAATATATATATATATATATATATATATATATATATAATCCTTTTTATTGGTATTGGATCAAAATATAATCAACGGCTCTTATTTGATGTTATTTTTTAATCGTTGATTTGATTTTGATCAAAAGATATTAAAAACGATTGTAAGAGGTTGTAAGTATAATATCACACACACATATATCTTGAGCTATGAAATTAGAAAACACATACACATATGATATATCTTGAGCTATGAAATTAGAAAAATGAAAACTAATCTCGACCATAGAATATAACCGTTTATGGATGATCAAGATTGATTTTAATTAATACTAATATTGATCATCCATGTAAAACTAAATGGTAAAGAGTAACTCTTCCTTGGCTCTAATCCCCTCTCACTCAATTCTTTCCCTCTCTCTCTATCATCTAATTTTACGAAATAGAAAGACAAGACAAATCAATTGATTATTTTTACGAAATTTAAAAATATAAAATTAAACAAAATTGGTGTTTTTTTTTTTATTTTTTTTCCGGTTCATATTGGTTTAGTTCGATTATAAAGAAATCAATTGCTTCTACATAAAGAATTACAATTTTTCTACACACCCTTCGATTTCTGTGCTGACATGGGTCTTACATATAATTTTTTTCAACACAGGGGTCCCACATGCATTTTATCTCTACAACATGAGATTTCAATTCTCCTTCAACATGAGAATTATAAAACCCTTAAACTTATTAGTTGAGGTGCGAGAGTATGACCCACCAAATATCTATATTGTATACTAAGTAAAGTCCACAAATATGATTTAGAGGACATATATGTGGACTTTTTTTTTTTTTTTTTTTACAAAAAAAAAGTCCACATATATGTCCTCTAAATCATATTTCGTCGCAGTGACGATTTGGTGCTCATATTTTTGTGGGTTATAAGTTTCTCATGCGGATACGACAAACCGTGGGACCTACTGATTATATAAAAAAAAAAAAAAAACAGTAGAATATTTTATGTCAGTGCAGGAGGGGATGTCTGAGAAAAATATATCCCTATTTTTATTTCATATAATAAAGGGATCTATTTATCTTATGAGATAATTATCTCATGCAACATAGATAAGATAGTGGAGTCCATTATTTAAAAAGAAAAAAAAAAGTAGATCTCATTAGTTTGTCTCTGTTACGTGAAATAATTATCTCATAATTATTTTTCTATAATAAAATGTCAAAACATAGAGGAATGTTGCTTATTTTTATTTTTACAATTTGCAGTTACCAGCAGATGGGGTGAAGATGAAAGAGGTAAATGACTCTAAAATTTCGTGTATAAATTGTTTGGTCGTTAATATCTGACATTTCTATCACCGTTTGCTTTTAGACATCCAGAAATTAGTTAACGAATAAATTTAAAGGAAACGATATATTTATAAATTTTTTATTTACAAATTCTTATAAATTACATTAAGTATGACCGGTCATACTTCAATAAAGAGTGTATGATGGGTCATACTTAGTGTAATTTGTAAAATAAATTATAAACGAATCCTTCCCATGTACTTAATGGGTGAAGAATAATTTTATTTTTTTTGATAACAGGTGAAGAATAATTTAGATTTAATCATTTGTGTTCCTTTTGAAACAATTTTTTAATATAATGATATCACTGATGTTCGAATTTATGATTTCATATAAATTACTCAAATTCTTTACTATTGAATCAATCCTAATGATTTTTTCAAAATGGTTTTTGTGGTAAACTTTTGGAGACATGAGATTTAGCTTTGTTTTTAAGTCAATTAACTCATTAATTACATTGACTTCTTTTGAATCCAGTGCTCAATAATAACTATTACTCTTTTTGCTTGAAAAATTGAATCACCATCCCTTAACTTTTGTACTATTTTTACACCCATCATCATTCTTTATTTGAAATATTACACTTGCTTCTATTATTTTAAGCCCAATTCCTACATTTTCTCTTGTAAGTAATAAAGTTAGGGTATCAAAAATAATATTATTATTAAAGGAGTTATGTGTAATTTTTCGAACAAAATATGTAATGAGTCTCATAAGCACTAATTTCATCAGATATAATTATTTATCCACTCTTATATGTTAAACTAAAATACATTCCTTTGAGAGTAACTTAGGGTCTCTTTTGATTGTGTTCTAATTTTTTTTGTTCTTAAAACTGTTTTGTATAATAGTTGTATAAATAGGTGTTTTCTAATTTTTTTATTTTATTTTAAAAGTTAAAAGTCGAAACACAAAGCATAAAAAATTTAGACATGTTTTCTAAATTTTATTCTGACAACAAAGAAATAGTTATAATTTAAAAAAAAAAAAATTAACAAAACAAGCCTTATCAAACAATTTTTTTTTTTCTAAAAATCAAAAACATTTTTTACAAATATTCAACCAAAGCTTTAATCTCTTAGTCTACTCTCCCTTAAAAATGACAAATGTTGTTAACACATAACTTTACTCTTTTTAGTTATAAATTAAAATTAAAATTATTCTGAATTAATTATACATACCTTCTTTATATTTTATTCATTTTTTTCTCTTTGTATGTATATCTTCTATTTTCTTACTGAGTTAATTATAGAAGCCTTCTTTATAATTTATACTTTTAAAATTTTACATAAATTTAAAATACCAGTCCAAATATTTGCTAGTTAATTAACATTCTTTATCAATTCTCCAGCCTATGGTGTCAAAGTACTTATAATTTAGTGAATATTTTCAAATATTTGTGTACAGGTTTATGAAGTGAACTCCAGAGGATTAAAAGTATTCTCCAAAAGTTGGCTACCTGAAAGATCTCCTTTGAAAGCAATTGTTTGTTACTGTCATGGTTATGCAGACACTTGCACATTTTACTTTGAAGGCATGAATATTTCTATAATAAATAAGAATTCATTTAATTTCATGTATGCAAAAAAAGATAGATTATTGGGTGTCTTTTTATGTTGTATTTTCTTTTAGGAGTTGCAAGGAAGTTAGCATCATCAGGATATGGAATATTTTCAATGGATTACCCTGGATTTGGCCTTTCAGATGGTCTTCATGGTTATATTCCTAGCTTTGAAAATCTTGTAAATGATGTCATCGAGCATTTCTCAAAAATTAAGGGTAAGATATATTTTTCCTTGTTTTGGTTTTCTTCAAATGTTTGCATGCATGAAAATTTCTGCTTGAACAAATCTGTTTTTTGGCTTCTCAATTTCATTGTTTTGCAATTATTTGCCATTAATTGTAGTGGTTTTGGATGACAGAACAAAAGGAGTATCAACACTTACCAAGCTTCTTGTTAGGTGAGTCAATGGGAGGAGCAATTGCTTTGAAAATTCACTTCAAACAACCTACTGCATGGGATGGTGCTGCTCTTATTGCACCTTTGTGCAAGGTATCTCCTTGAATTTGAGCTACAACTAAAATTATTTGATTGCTTGATCTATCTATATGTAAGTAAACTAACCAGTTCTCTTGAGTAGTTTGCAGATGATATGATTCCACATTGGTTGGTGAAGCAGATACTAATTGGGGTCGCTAAGGTTCTCCCCAAAACTAAGTTAGTTCCACAAAAGGAAGAGGTGAAAGATAATATATATAGAGATTTGAAAAAGAGAAAACTGGTGAGTGTTGATGCTAATATATTGAGATAAACATATTAGCACATGCTTGAGTTAATTAGATTCATGTTAAATGTATGAAATAATCCATGAATGTCTTCTTGTGTTAATGATTTTTCTGAGTGATTTTCTCCAGGCACCCTATAATGTGTTACTCTATAAGGATAAACCAAGATTGGGAACTGCATTGGAGTTGCTTAAAGCCACACAGGAGCTAGAACAGCGACTGGAGGAAGTAAACCTTTTCTATTAACTATCTTTTAATACTATTTAATTGCCCTTCTTCCTTAAACATTCTTGCAGGGACTATGAATAGATTTTTTAACCTTTTTGGAAACTGCAATGATAAGCAATTGCATGTCCTATTTTAATAGCCTTTCTCTCTGAATGAAACAAGCTAAAGAATTTTATTTGCTAGGTTTCTCTGCCATTATTGATCATGCATGGAGAGGCTGATATAATAACAGATCCATCAGCTAGCAAGGCTTTGTATGAGAAAGCTAAAGTCAAGGACAAGAAACTCTGCATCTATAAGGATGCTTTCCACACATTACTTGAGGGTGAACCTGATGAGACTATATTTCACGTGCTTGGTGATATTATATCTTGGCTTGACGAGCATAGCAGCAGAAAAAATAAATATTAAGCACCTTGTTATATGAGTTTGGTGCAAAACAAATATTAAGCACCTTAAAATACTTAAATTTACATGTTTTATTGGAGGAACTGGTATGGTATATGAAGTCAGGAGAATCAATCAAATCTCCACTTTAATGTTCAATGCTTGAATAACAATTTACAGGTGTTTGGCTGCTAGTATTTAAAAATACAAAATAGAAATCGAAGCTTTCCCACAAGTTGGTTCCTTGGTTTCATTTACATATTATCGATTTTGGAATGAATTATGCTATTTGTAAACCTTATTCGTGCCTTCTTTCAAATTCAATATTATATCATTAAATTCACCCACATCAAACAGTTTCTATGTTAAAATCATTGTTAACAAAAAAAAAAAAAATTGGTGAACAAGGTGTGCAAATATAGACATCTTATCGAGTTTGTTGGTTATAACCAAAAGTGTGCCTCTTATCAAATTACATCAACATGGTACATTTATAGTTATGGCATTGAACCGGACATGATAATTTTTCACCATCCGGCTCGAGTGCGAATCAAATTTTTTTAACAATTTTTGCCAATCCGATATGATATGATAATAAAAAAAAATTCGTAAGATAACAAAACAAAATCTCGGGAAGGCATAATATTAAGATTGTAAATACAAGAAAGGAATTATCCTTTACCATATTGGATAACCGTACATTAGTATAGCCTATTACAATGTGATGGAGGATTTACAATAATCAGGTCAACTACAATGAGAAGCAGACTCCAGAATACATCAGTGTTTGTGCATGCTGCTCAAATGTAGGCTAGCAGCCTAAGAGATACTATTTCAAAGAGCAGTCAAAGATCAAGTGCCATTCAAATGAAAAACCAGAGACAAGCAAACAATTGATGAGGGGTTTTTGCTGCAGCAGGACCACGAATGATATGTAGGCACATCTTTGTAGAACTTTGAATAAATCAAACTCCATATTTTCAGCTCTAAGAATGTGCAGAGAGAGGAAAAAGCAGACAAGTTACCGTAAGCTCGCGCCTCTTGATTATCCTACATGTAGGGAGAATTGCTACATTCAATGCAATTAAGGGGGAGAAGAATGCCCCATCTGATTACGAAAATTTATTAAGTTGTCCATACAGGACCAAACTGATCCTGGAAACCTGTTGAACAAACAGTAAGTACTACAACCAGCCTGTTATATCAACGACTTTCAGTACTAACAGTGCAAGAATCACAGAACTAAAGTATGGCATCAAAATGCAGTATATGAAGACCGTTGTTGCAAACTTACGACCTACGTCATCAAATGGCAAAATTGATACCTATCTAGCTGCAGGCAATGGCAGATGTCATCCAGAAACTTCAATGGAAAATATGTCAACCTGCCTTCAATGATGCCCATCATTTTTGAATTTTGAAAATTCAGAGTCCTCATCATCTTCCCACTCAGAGTCCTCATCATCTTCCTCATCATCAAAACCATCAGAATCTTCATCCTCACCCTGCAAAATAACAAGTGGACAAATTAATTGTCATTGAAATGAAAAACTATTTTTGTTTTCGTTTTTTTTCCTATCAATCTCTCTCCTCCTTACCCTCTATCAGCTGATAAGTAAATTCATGTTATAAATAGTCTCATACTCCATATTAGTCATTTCTATAATAGATCCCAAAACTTACCACCTACGTTTTCTATGAGAAAATGAACTACAAGTATGAGGAAATTCTAAATGCCAGTTCTACTATTTAGAAATAGTATTAAATTGACTAGAACTATTTCATAGCCTTCCCAAAATAAAACAGACAAGAGAATAAGGAGTGATGAGAGGTATTTTACTTGGGTGAATTCTGAGATGTGGTCTATTTGGTTATGATCCTCTTCCTCTATGCTCCATCCATCTTCAACCTCTAAATCTTGAGACATACCCTGGATGATTTTAAAAGACTAAATTAGACTAGTTGATATAGAGACCTTAGAGAAACCATACAGCTGACCTGTTAATAGGTCAAATGTAGATATTATCTTCACATTTACATGAGCTAAGTGACATTCTAGAAAGATATAATGCTAACATTGGGACAAAGCAGAGGTCAAGACTACGGATATAAGATATTCAGATATAATTCCAAACGAAATTTGGAGCAAATTGATTATTTCATAAAATGACCAATCCCATATGTTGAAGCTGAAAAAATAAAGCAGACTCCGTAACAGAAAACAGGTGACCTACTCTGAAAGCCAAAAAGCATGACACATAATATCAACGTACAAATAGATAATTTGGTATCTACGAACATGTCTCAAGGATAAAGAAAACTTTCAAAATCAGAGACTAGGTATATCACATGCAAAGGGTGCTTCCATTGACGTTTTAAGCAAAGATGTAGCTATATAGGGTTGAACTTCTTTTTAATTTAAAAAAAATAAAAAAGATAAAATTAACCTGGCTGAAACATGTCAATTTTTGAAAAATTATTTGCAAAACTATTCCCATACATCTATGATATGGGCTTTGTTAACTCAGAAAACTAAGATGTCCATTTTTAAAACAATTCCACAAGCTCAAGAAAAATAGCAACATAAACTCGGTCTAAGCACTCATGACAGAAGGGTTTCAATTCCCGATATTGGTTGAAGATTCTAAAACGCAGATAATAAAATATGTAAAACCAAGATATTTTGGGTGGGGGTTGTCACAGTCCTTTTCAATTGATCGTAATGAAGTAACAATTTACACAGACTGGAACCAATCAAGTCATTTAACTGCCTGACTTTTAGGAGTGACCTCTCCTCTACATCAAAATATAACTAAATAAATTATGATAAGTCAATACTTACAAGTTCTCTTTTCATTTGATCTATAGTTTTTTCCAATTCAGTAATATGCTGACTCAGAGCCTGCACAGTTCATACAAGATCAAATGTAACATCACAAATATAAAAGAGATGAATAAATTAGTAAGCGTTATATAGAAGACAGGAACCTCATGGCGTTGGAAGGCTACAGAACGCTTCAATGCCTTGGCCTTCGTTAGGAGGTTTCTAGGCCTCAGGGTAATGGGCCGTTTATAATTCTTTCCACGATAGTAAATAAGAGCAAATCCTTTGGAAACCCTCTCTATTGCCACTAGTATTCCACCACTCTCATATTCCAGTAACCTTGCAGTGTCTTCAACAAAAGCAAGAGTCTTTTGTTTCGTTATCAATTTTACAAGTTCTCGGTATTTCCAATGCAAATGCATATTCTCAATTACACCATCAAAAACACCACGAATACCTGGAGATTATCATTAACAGATGTCAGTATTGCATTGTTAGAATAGAGTAACTTTGTACAGTTGAAAATTACTCACCAAGTGGTAAGTATGGCTTCATTCTTAAACCAATCCTGCGGAACACAACACATTCTTCATCTGTGATTGTTTCCTGGTCATAATCAGGACCAGCTGGAACCATGGATGCTTCTATTTTCGCTAACAGCTTTTCTGCTCTAAGCTTTTTGGCCTGGGCCTATTCATGCATCAGAGTGGTAAATATAAACAAAGAAAGTTAAGTGTTGTTAACAAGACCATAAAAACAAACACTATATATATATATATATATATATATATATATATATGCATGTGTGTGTGTGTGTATTCTTCTATCCAGGATCCAGCTAATTATGCTGCATTCCTATAACCATAAATTGTTGAAATAAGTTATATCTCATTCATATTAAGTTAAAAATTTAAACTGAACATTATAAAACTGCAAGAGGACAAGCATAAACCAGTAAAAATTAAGGAAAACTGAAAACAAATAAGCTGACAGGACTTATTTTTTCATCAATAAAGAATTCCAATCTGGGGACTACTCTTGTAACAATGCTTATGTCCATTAATTCACTATAAACCAAGTCTTCCTTTCTGTTGATATAAACCAAGTACTATCTCAAGCATGTTTTCATAAAAAATGTAGATACTTACGAGAGATAGTTTATGTTCAACTTGTTTGACAAGCCTAACAGTCTTGGTTTTGGCAGCTTCTTCCATCATCTCCTCACGTTCTTCAGAAGATATGTCCCTTCCCCAACGAGCCTGAGCCTCATAGAACTCTGCTAAAGATCCTGCCTGTGCTGCTGGTTCACCTTGCCCCAACGAATTAGCATCAACAGCTCTGCAGCGCACTTTCTCTTCAATATCCTGTACCTGTTTTGTCAATTCCTGTCTTTCAGCTAAAACTTCTGCCACACTTGTTGGAACAAAGTCCTTCCCACGATATATAACAATGTAATATTTATTCCTTAGCAGCAAGGTACCTCCTGTTAACATCTGCACCATAACAGGAAAAAAAAAATCACTTTTCTGAAATTCAAATTAACAGAACAAATACCTTGTTCTCTATTCTTAGCTTATCATGTATTAGCAACAAAAGAATATGACTACGGAAAAAAATTAGCTTGATGCACATTACGTAGATTCAGCCCATAGAATGAGTATCACTATCTTCAATATCATACTTTTTGGTTTCATGATAACATTAAAAAAAAAAAACTCAGTGAATTATGTTTTGGGCACAAATGGAGAAAGAATGTTAGTTCTTTGAGTATATAGTTCCCTTTTTATTATTCCAAGCTATAATTATTTGCTAACTGGTAAAATTAACGGAAGAGAAAAACCTACTGGTTTCTTTAAATATAAATGCATAAACAAATTATAATTTTGGTTGGTTACTCTCAGGTATTACTCAATATAAGCATAGCAAACAGCTTCAAAGGACAATTACATTATAAACAAAAAAATTGATACAGGTTTTAGAATACACCAGAACTGTCTTGATGAGATCATGATTAAGGTGCCTTGGACAAATTAGTAACTGCTCTATTAATTACAATAATCTCAGTCACTCAACCTCCCTCTTGATTTTATCAACCTACTTATTGATTTTATCATCAGCAATGCAGCCTATAGTGTATTTTTAATTTAACACTCAGAACTTGTCCAGAATGTGATGCATTACACTTGATTCAAGCATGATTGCACAAGCAAATAATTGCCAAATTACAAATGACCATACCTTCAGCTCCTCAGCCATTATTTTATTGTTTGTGTTCTGGATACCAGGTTTGACAGCAATCTTTGCAACTAAACTTTTCTCCCAAATCTTAAGAATAGCACATGCCAGACCTTGGTGATTTCTATTTCTCCCTTCACAAAGTCCAGAAAAATAGATTTATAAGAGAAAAAGGGAAAATAAATTTAATAAAATATTGTAGTGGTTGAATTTTACCTAAGGCAAAATGACAAGGAAGCGATTTCGCAACTATCCTTAAATTGGTCATCTCTGCATTTGTTAGTCGAGAACGCATTCCAGTAGGAAGAAGCCTAAAAGGTGTTTTATAATCCGGAACTGTACGGGGAAGTAAATCAGCATCAACAGGAAGTATTCCTGTACCCCACCATCCAACAAAACGAGGACCTAAACCATCAAGCAGGGCGTTGTACTCAGCTTCCTCCTCTGTCATGTTCTCAGGCTGTTCTCGATTCATCACAACAGGCTCAGTCTTCTCCACGGATGAGGTTGCATTACTGTCTTTCGTTCTTAACAAACTTCCTTCTGAGACATCCGGCACGAAAAAGCCATCACCTTCCTTTTCATTGAGTTCCCTACCAGAGGCAGGCCCTTGGTAATTACTACCACGATACACCATCATAACACTTCCTGACCTCCATGTAACTAATCCTCCTGTTCGACGCTGCACACTACAATAGGTCAGTTCATATGTTGTTTAAGATGAGTAAATTTTCAGTATTACTGTAATACATACTCTTCTACTAAAATTCTACCAAAAATTTACTCGTTTAACACCAATTAAATACCAACATTCAACATTCAAGCATGGAATTGTGCACAAAGTAAAATGGTCTCTCTCTCTCTCTCTCTCTCTCTCTCAGTCTCACATAGCACCAATGACATACTGACTTAACAAGTACACAAATGCACATTTCGAATGCAACTCACACAAAATATCCACCAAAGCAAGGAACACACTGAACTCAAGTAATTACTCATGTCATACATATATTTATCAAATGTAAGTAAAAGGAAAAAAAGGCAACAAAAGAAACCTCAACAATATCATGAGCAGTCTTCATGTCCCCTGCAAGATCCTCATGGAACTTGAGCCTCACCAACTCCTCCTTCCTCCATTTTTTATGAATATTGTCCATCACATCCTGTGTGAGCCCAGCTTTTGGGATACTAATCCTCTCTCTAACACGCATCCCCTCTCTCCTCAACCTCCTCAACAACTCATCTTCAAGGGTCAACTCAGCCAAAGTTGGAGCCTTTACACTCCTCTTCCTCAACCCCACATCACCTCCACCACCCTTCTCCTTCTCCTTCTCGTCCTTCTCTCTCTCCCATGGCAAAACCATCTCTTCATCCTCCTCATCCTCATCCAACACCATAGCATCAGGACGAACCCATTCTCTTCTCAGCAACTCGCCGAGCCTCTCTTCTCCGGTCACCGGAAAAGCATCAACCCGAACTTCTTCTTCTTCTTCTTCTTTTTCATCTTCTACTTCCACATCTTCTTCTGAAGCCAACCCCAAGTTCCGCAACCGAAGAACGATTCTCTCAACGGCGTTTTGGCCTTTATCCGTTGGAGGGCGAAACGGGTCTTCGGTGGTGGATTCGGGTACCCTTTTGGGAGAAGGGGATTTTGAGAGCCAGGGAGCAGAAGGGGTGTTGGGTTTTGAGGAGGAAGAGCGGTTGGTGGTGGTTGTTCGGAGAGAAGAGAAAGTGATAGTGCGAAATGCGAATTTAGAATGAGAGTGGAGGAAGAGAGTGGTGGAGGAGCGAGGAAGGTACAGTGATAGTGAAAGTGATGATGAAGAAGGAGAATTTGGAATTGGGAATGCCATTGTTCGAGGTAATTGTTAGTGAAGCATTTTCTGTTTGGATGACGAGAAAATTGCACACTGTGCAGCAGAGGAGCAGAAAGGGCAAGATGCTAACGTGAGTATGAGAGAATAGATGATAAGGATTTATTTATTTTTCAAATTTTTTTTAAAAAAATAATTTTTAAATTTTTTTTTTTTTTTAAGATTTATAGATGGAAAGGATTTTAGCATCCGAGGGGGAGTTGGAAACTTGGAATAACAGAAATTGCAAAGGAATTTTTGTTTTTTATTCAGAAATTTTGAGTTTATGCAAGTTTATGACATTAATTGTTTTTGTTTTTTACCATTGTGAAGTTAATTTAATTAAAAATTAACACTTCGTTCTCACACGTAAACATATCATTCATCTGTTCTTATTTTACAATGACCATTGATTGAGTAATATATTCGAATATATAATGTCGAAATACTCGGATATACATGTGACACACTCAAACATTGTTTGTCGGTTGAGATTGATGATACATTATTTACTCAGTACAGCACCCGTATATTGCTCCTCGTTTGACTCCGAAAACATATAAACCAATGCATTTTCTGAACCCAGAACTTCCCAAAACAACATAAAGGAATTTTATTTTTTTTGTTTCAGTTATTTGGAATTCTGACATAGAAAAAGCAATCTGGTCTCCGTAGATTGCTTAAAAACGGAACATAGTGGTAATTTTTAACTAAATAAATGCACAATAATTAAAAAGCCAATATGGGAAGTCTTTCATTTTAGATGATATATAAGATATTTTCTTGTCAGAAAAACATAAACTACGGGTATAAATAAAAATGTTAATCCCAAAGTTGTTGGTACAGTGGCGATCTGGTTATTCCGAATTTGACATGCTAGATAGCAAGTTCAAGTTCAAGTTCAAGTTCTAAGAGTCACTTCATAAAGAGAGTGAAATATAATTCATCTGTTGACAATGCTACCTAATAATTGCACTTGCATTAGGGCATTGACATCACTAAATATTAGTTTGCAATTAGAGCAATACCTTTTTTTTTTAATTTTAATGTATATTTAAATTATTATTTAGATGTTTAATGTTTAAATAAATTTAAGCATTGACTAAATCTAATTAGAGTGACAAAAATATTATTTACTTAAAAAATTAACTAAGGAGAAAACGAATTTCTCTTTATACATTAAAGGTCAATTAAATTGGTTAAAATTATTATTCAGTATATGAAAAGAACAGATTGAATAGCAAATATTAAAACTTAAAAGTGAGACCAAAATTTTAATTACACGTAATGCAAAATGAGAATAATTACAAGAAAAGTACAAAAAGAAATTGGTTACTGGAAGTAAAAAGCAGCAGGATACATATACTTACCACTAAAAAAGTTTACCATTCTTACAACCAATTTAATTATCATTAATTTTTGCCAATTTGATGATTATAATTTATTGAAAATTAATATAACCGTTAGATTGACGGAAATCAACGATGATTAATTTGGTTGTAAAAATGAAATAGGAGGGATAATAGTAACCGATTCATCTTTTGCTAAAATATCATTCATTTCAAATCAACCATATAATAGTAATCGATTCTCTGTTTTTTATTGAAGTTCACGGAAATCCATAATCATAGAAACTAATTTCTTGTTCATGTGTGAATAAAGTTGCTCCTTTTTATTATGAATCCCCCTCCCCAGAAAGGAACTTCACTAGAGCAAAAAATTGATCAAATAACCATATACAAGCAATATGTGGTAGCATAAGAAGAGACTATCTAGTCTGAGAAACATGTACAAAATCTGTCCTTGATGACTCCCCTAAGCAAAATATTGTGCATGTGAAAATATTAAATACTAATTTGATGAAGGTTAGTTCCCACTTCCAGAAGATCTTCTGCTTAGTGAAGGAGAAGAATTAGTGATCTCTTGGCCAAGTTCCTTTATTTTGCTGAGAAGTAGCATTTGCTCAGTCTCCAGCTGTGCTATATACCCTTCCTGTGTATCTTCTAGAGTTTCTAGCTCACTCAATGTTGTAGAGAGTCCTTCAAGATTTCCATCCTCTACTAAGGACCGGAACTTGATCATCGTCTGTTTTATCTGATAAAAAGTTCAATTTACACAATGTGTTAGAATAAGGGCAAACCCCGATGTACAAGACTTCCTGACATGCAAGGGAAGGGGTGAAAATCAATTGTACGCAGTTTAGCCCTTACATTTTTGCAAAGAAGTTATTTTCCGGACTATGTGTTAGAATAGCAACATAAAATAAAGATAAGTAATTAGTATATAAGTGTTTTGAGACATGTAGGAAGATCTCACCTGGCTTGGAATTTGGTGTAGTTTACTCAAGGAAGGGTCAGAGTCTAGACTAAGCCTCTTTTGCATCTCTGGGACTTTTCTAGTAATTTGGATGTGAATCTCACCCCTTTTGACCCCTTGGAGAGGTATCCACTTGTCAGCCATCTGGTTTGGAGGCAACCTTTGATATTCTACAACACATTCACCTATACTTGATGTTGGTAGCAACGCATTGTGGTCCTTGACATAAAGTACCAGTGGACTTCCATCATCAGGGAACTCTAGGGTCTGGTTCCAGCGAGGGTTAAGAGTTTTGTATATAATCTACCACACAATGCCACAGCCATTAAGTACTTAAGTTTTATAAGACTGAAATAATAGCATGGAAATGCAGACCAAATATATATATATATAAATTTGAGAACATCTAAAAATTATGTAGTTACAGATAAAATTTTAAATCTTAAACATTCAATTTCATGAAAAAGAAACCAAGGATGAAGTATTGCCAACCTTTGTCTTTTTCTTAAAGCTTCCGTAGTGTACCCTCACATATGGATCACTTGTGCCTCTGAGATCGGCAGCAACAAGATCCCTTCCTTCAATCAGAACAAGTTCTATCCAACCATTGCCTGGGCCTATACCTGAACCCTGGCCATTTCAAAGGAGTAAAGCATGTTAGAATGAATATCCCAAGAGGTGAAAATCTGTCATGGGTAAAATAAATAAAATGAAACTATGCAAATATAATATGTTCCTTTTGCATCCTTTTTCCATATTGTAACTAAAATGATTCAAAGAATCACTAATTTCCTACTGAAAAAAAACACACCCTTGATCCATCTTGGTCGTCCATCCTAAATGCTTCAATTTTAAGTCTTAATTCACCAGAACGCACTCTTTCAAGAGGGATCCATACATCCCTAACTGAGCCATCAACTAGTCCTTCCAAGTTTACTTGTGCACTACCAATGTTTTCATCTCCAAAAGTTTCCTCAGTAAAGCCTTTTACTTTTAAGTATTCACCACCACTAATCTCATCAAATTCAAATGTCTGATTCCAGATAGGATTTGGAGTATGAGCAGTCCTTGATCTCTGGACAACCTGAAAATATTATTAACAACAGAATGAGATAAAGCATAACAATTAACCTACGAGCTCGGTTAATCAAGTAATTGTAGTACCAGTGTCTCACAGACACACGTGTCACATACCTTTCCATACTGCAATTTAATGTATGGGTCAAATTTCCCAGATTTTTCTTTTGCAGCAAGATCCTTTCCTTCCACAATAGTTACGTTAAGCTTCCTTCCAGTTCTTAACTGAAGATTTGATGATCCATTAAGTGATTGCTGAGAGCTAGACCGGAGATTGTTCAAGCTATGTGAACCATCAGAAAATTGCCACTCTTTTACTACAATGCTCACCTTCAACTAAAAAATGAAGAGAAGAGGTAGAATGGATAAAATGACTGATTCAATAACAATTTTATTTGCATTCAGAAAGGTAAATCAATTATCCATGTTTACGTACAAAAATGTGACAAGATGGCATTTTGATATTAGTTCTGTGATTAAAAACCAGTCAAAAGAGATATGCCATTGTAAGAATATGCTACATTAAAAGGCCGTTTAGTTTAGGAAGAACAAAGAGCAAATTGATACAATAAACTCAACCAGCAGAGGATAGCAGAATGCTAGAGCAGCCAAAAGCATTAAACAAGAAAATCTATCAATATGAAACTCTACCCTCCATTTTAAAGGATTAATACCATACAATGTTTCATCTTCACAACTCAACCAACACAACTGAAATTAAATAATGTTCATTTTGACATACACTGAATAAATATTGAATTATCATGTAGTCATATTTAGATTACTGTTTTTTAGTATTTTACTTAATCAAGATACCTGTTCAGATTAGGAAATAAGAACAACCTTGTTAGCTTCATTGAAAGCAAGAGGGGCAGGAGGAACTAATCATTACATTATCATAGATATAGTACCTCTCCAGAGTTGGCCCCCTCAAATGGGACAACCATTTCAATTTCATCTCCACAAAACAGTGCTTGCTTTGCTATGACCCCAGAATCAGGTCCTATTGCCCACATTATTGTTGAATCATCTTCAACATGCCTTATCTGCTCGAAGACATAAACGTCAACTTAGTGTACTATCAGAGACGAGAAGTTGTGCAGAAAAGAAATAAAAGCTGGAAAAAAAGAATTCATGTCTGAATGAAAATAATATTTATTGGTAACTGATATCCTCCTGTAGCTAGCTCACAAAGGAGAACATCAATTTCAGTACCTTGATTTCACAATTAGCTAGATAGTCACACTTCACACTGCTGGGACAATTCTCATAAAGATTGAAACGAAGAGTTCCTGAATTATCATGCAAAACCATATTAAATGGTGCATCCCATCTAGGGGTGGAACCCAGTCTGACATCTGTTCTCCTGGTTAATTCCTCAACTTCTACCTCTACAAATGTCTGTAGGTCCTTGTCATCAAAATTGTCTTCTGAAGTTGTACCATTTTGTTGCCTCCTAGATGCCTTGAAGCAACTCCTAGAAAGTTTATTTGCTGAAATCACTCTAATATATATAATGCCTCCAACAGCCTTTTTCCTTAAATCAACCGCAGGTAAAGTGAAACAACGACGCCGAGGTTCCACCATGGTTTTAACCAAGGTGTCAGTAAAAAGTTTTTCCTGCATAAAATGGAAACTTAAAATCAACATGAAACATAAGAAGCCCCTGGGGAAAAATAGAAAGTTTAGAAACAAAAAATTCTGAGAATTTGCTAAGACAATGAGCATATGAGGTCAAACATCTAACTGATATTTTAATAGCCAACTGTTCCCAACTTGACAGATGAAATTATTCCAATACTTTCAGTTTTCAATTATTGCTAAATGGTTCAAATAGCTCTTTAAATAGCATAACTCAGCCCGCCTTTATATTACAATTCCCTCAAAATAAATTCTCTGAAAATACAAAGAACTTTCTGCTTCATCTTCTGTTCTTTGAAAAATTATATGCATCTGCTAACAAATCTCAATGAACAGTCCTTATACTAAAGCTATATGCATCTGCTAACAAATCTCAATGAACTTAAGCATCAGGCTGAAATCCATTGACACAGAATCAGCTTCAATATCTGTAGTGCATGATGATTTCTAGAAGTTGCAGCTGAACCAAAATTGTATTAATCTTTCGACAACAGCACCATAAATATAAGATAGTTTAGGGCACTCAACGCAAACAAATGCAACTTTGTTACTTCTCTACAAACATAATATTAAACTCAGGGGAAACAGACCAGCCAAGAAGAAACACCAGGCCACTCAGTGGCAGGAAGTGACTGGCTTGCACCGCTTCCAAAGGCAACTCCTACTCTCACCTCAGGAGCTGATACAAATGAAAACAAAAGTGCTTTTCCGTCTAGAATTGGTGTAAATAGAAGCTGCAAAATGAATACGAATGATGATTAGATTAATAAAAATAAAAGGGATCAAACCAGTTTCTTAGTAATGCAGGAAATTGTGGGTGATCTGGTAATCATGGTTGATAATTCTCAAAGCAACAATTGTTAATTACATGCTTCAAAAATCAAATCAACTTTGTTTTCATATCTCCCACCTTACTTTATACAGCTTTTGTTACGTTAGAGAAGCAAAAATGCAAAAACATTGCTTTACATACTTCACCCTTGATATGAAGACTGTTGATCACAATTCGAGCAGTTCCCATGAATGGCTTCGCAAGCTTAGCAAGCATCAAAATGCTCATTTCATTAGTGTCCCAATCAAAACCCAGTTGCAGGACACGCTGTAAAATATCAACAGAAGGCTTTATCAAAATCTCAGATATCTGGTAATGTATCAATAACTAAAGGACACAGCATTAAGTCAGGACCTTAATAAAAATGAAGGAGAGGCAAACTACCTTGAAAAGCAAGTGTAATAGAAGTACGAAAATCAAATATAATCGTTTAAGTGGCATTGGTAAGCTGTACAAATGATTCATAGGTTCCCATAATTATGATAATTAATGTTTGATTCGTATGTAAAATTAAACTTTAGTTTTCAAACTATGGATATGAGAAAATTCCATGGGCACTTGCTGTGGCTGGCAACAAAAAGATCACACAACAGAAGCAGTAACAGTGGAAGAGAGGGGCAACAAAAATAGCAAAAGTACCAAAGCTCCTAGTGAGTGTAGTGGTGGTAGTAGTAAAATCACATCAAGGAAAAACACATGCCTGCAGATTCAAACTGGAATCTGTTTCCCATATTGCAACCAAATCAAATATCTAAAAATGCTATAGTGAGAGAAAACTAAAACCTGATCACCAATAGTTAACCACCGCATCCCTTGCAGAGCCAAGCTAGGAGGGCATGATCCTAGTGAAAACTCTTGCAGCTCGACTCTTTCCTACAGAAGGATTGCTCTAGTTCAGTACACATCTACTAAATATTCATTATCTCAGAAATGTTCAAACTGTTTTTGTAAACTACTCAAACTCCTTCATAGAAGAAAATGAGTGTTACTTACTAGAAATCTTGGTTTCCGGCGCTTTAAACGTTTCTAGAGACACAAAAGAAAGAAAAACTAAATTAGTTCATCTATCAAATTATAAAATGCATGTCTAAAGAGTGCATAATGGGGCATCCCGACCATATAATGTAAAATGATCAAGAGTCTTCAAAAAGAAGTTTATCCACTCTTTCAACGTTTTAATTTATTATAAGACGAAAAGAAAACAAGTGATTCTATTGCTTGCCGGCAAAGATGTAATCAACAAAACATTATGTTTATTTATTCCAACATGAGGGGAAACAGGAAATGTCAGGTTATCTAAATCCTACTATATGTAACTTGTGTTGTTCAGAATCTAAGGTTTTCTGCAGATAGAACTATTTGAATCATGCCATCTCTGTTAGTGATATACTTCTTCTATCATTACCAATTTTAAAAGTTCCAAAAAGTAAAAAATATAAGTAGAGCCTATGCGATATAACTTAGTCATGGATAGAAAAAATATATACATATATATAAGTAAAAGCTAATTAGCAATTTTAGCGTTCACTGTTGAATAAAGATGAAAAAATGCATCAAAGTAGTAACTGGGAAAAGGCTGTGAAATTTCACCTCAACTATAGCTGATAACCTTTTTGAGAACTTGGGGTTAAAATAGTTGGACCAGACTTCTGTCAACAACTTATTCAGCCAATCACAGTGCTCCAATGGTGTGATGGGCTATATGAACAGGAAGTTGAAGTCATCTTCATAAAGCACATTGAGAATGTAAAAGTGTGAAAAGATAAGGAAAATATACCGAGACGTTTAGTATAATTCGCTTCCATTTCTTATCCAAGTCCTCCACTAGTAGTTTGCGTTGATACCTCCCATACTGAAAATGAATAAGTAGAAATTCACATCAACTGCTTATATCATACCCTACTCAAAAAATCCATTAACTTAGAGATGATAAAAGAGGGAAATTTCCTAGCACAGAATTTGATGTTAACTAAACATATTTATTAAAAGGGTATACATAAGAATAGGAAGCTCAAGCTCAAATACCACTAATTTGGTCTATTTTCTTCTATTAAACACGTGTCTCCAATTGGTAATTAAGAGTTCCAATAGCAAATAACTTCAATCAACTAACATATTATGCTAACAAATTACATATGCAATGGAAATATCATGAAATTGCCCCAATTCAACAACATTCAATAATAATTAACTCATTGAATTATGAAACTAAATTGATCAGGCAAGTTCATCCTTGAGAAAGTGACTTTGTAAAGATGATAGAGTAAGGAAAAAGGGGGCAAAGTAATCAATCAAAGTAACCAGTGACAACCTGTATAGTAGCCCACACAGCAAGTGCAAGAGGAACCCAAGTGGAGAAAGAGAAGACCCATCTCTCAATAACCCAAGCAATCAGAATCAGAGGAATGAAGAACGGAATCTGAGGCTTCTCCTGCAAGAGATGGTTGAAGAAGTCAACCGCAACCTCTTCAATATTGTTAATGGAAAAGACCCTTTTCTTTCTGCTCATTGTTTTGCCTTGCTTTGCTTGCACAAAACCACTCCTCTGATAAAAAGTTTCCTTTTTTGTATTTAAATTTGTGATCTTTTGTTTCTCTAGATATTACACACCATCAAAATCCCTCATCCAGAAAGAAAAAACAATGAAGAAAAAAAAGAGACCAAGGTCAAGGACTCAAGATAAGGCTAAAGGGGCACCAATTGGAGAATGAAAAGAAACATGAATCAAGCAGAAAACTTAGGAGTTGACAAATTTTGAAGGGTTGGTTCTACAAGCAGAGAAAGGTAGGAAGAGAGAGAAATAGAGGGAATTGGAAAAGTCTACAAAGGGTGAATGAAAAATTCCATTTTGTAACATAAAACGACGTTTTGTTCGTCTTAAACTGAACTGAACTGAACATAAATTGGAAGAAACAGCGGACGCTGAATCAAAAGTACAAAACTTCTCTTCATTCCCCCACTTTGTAAATGCTTCCTGTTCTTCACGCTGAGTGGGTCCCCACTTTCTTACATCAAAATTTATACATAACCAAACTCCTTCAATTTGATTATTAAAAAACCGTTAAATTTACTAAAACTTACAAAATTTAATGTTGTTTACTGTAACATTAACTTCTTCAAAAGGAAATATCTTTAAAATTATTTCATGCACAAATATATATTGGATGGAACTCATTGTTTTTATTTCTCTCTATTTTATTTAGTGAATTTCATTTACTTTTTTTATATGTTAAATGAAATGAAAAATATATTTTCTTTTTTAAAAATGGATTGAATGTATCTTTTATTCTAGAAGATAAAATTATCTCCTACAACAAATATGTGAGATCCATATTTTCTTTATATCTCACTTCTCTCTACATGATCTCACATGAACTTCACATATTTTTATGTATATATAGGAAATAATTTTATCACTTACAATATAAAAAATATCAAACCCATTAAAAATATCTAAAATGTTAAGAACATGAAAAAAAAATATTTGTCCTTTTAAAATATATAACTTTATGTCTTTTTATATTTTAATCGTTGATTTTCATCAATCAATAGTTGTAATTTATTGTGAATTACTACTTAATTATAACCGTTTGACCTAATAAATTATAATAGTTGATTGATAAAAATCAACGGTTATGCTATAAAATAACTCAAAATCATATCCTTTAAAAGGATAAATATTTTTTCCAAAAAAACTTATATAAATAGAATGGAAAATGTTTGTCCTTTTAAAAAAGAGAAAAGTGTTTTTCATTTTAAATAATATAAAATTATGTTATTTTAAGAGAGAAATAGACACAAAACTATTTTTTATTTAAAATTTAAATTAAAAAAATCACTTATTTTCTCTCTCCCATAATTTTTATTTTTTGTGTCTATATCTCTCCTAAAATGACATAATTTATGTCATTTAAAATAACAAACACCAAATCCTTTAAAGAATATAACTATGTGTCATTTTAGTTGATTTTCGTCAATCAATTATTATAATTTATTACGAATTATTATAATTTATTATATAATTAAATTTGATAAATTATAACCATTGATTAATAAAAATGAATGATTTTTTTCAATAACATAAAGTTATATCCTTGAATGAACATTTTTCCCATAAAGGGAAATATCTGTTTTAGTTTTGAATATCTTATTCATATCCCTTATTTCATATCAATCAATTATTTTTTTACTTTCTTTCTTTCTTTCTTTTTGTACTTATTTTATTTTTAATAATAACGTTTCTTTTATATGTACAAGTTTATCTAGTATTTGTTTCTTCAAATATTATACTTACTTAAAAATATAAATAAAATAAATTATTTTCATACATATTATTTAAATTAAACATATTGGTTTAAATATCAATAATTAATTATTAAAAGTATGATTACTCCTAAAAATGACAGTTACCACATCCAGGTAATCTGAAGGATGGAGGAGTATTAGATTTTTAAAAATATTTAATGTATCCTTTTTTATTTTATGTATTTTATTTTAAACTATAAATATTGTTAAAAAAACATCACATTTTTTTTAAATGAAATTATTAATTACCATTAATTTATTTTTTGTATAAATAAAAAAAATAAATAGCCACATATTTGGAAGTCAACGGGGTTGGCGGCTCAAACTCAATTGGGACATCCAACAGCTATGACTCCGTTTGATGGAAAACTGGGAAAAATCGTGGGACCCACATACGTTTGGACCTAGGTTGTCAAAACCAACTTCCCCAATAAAGAAAGTGCTTTTTAAATTTTTATAGTTGTTTGAAAAAAAAAATATTTTGAAATCATATCTACACATCAGATTAATTTATAATATATGAATTAAATTAATAACCATAGACTAATTGGCATGAGTCAATTCAACTTAACCAGTGATTTGAAAATTGAGTTCTGGATATATAATTATGTGAAAATTTTGATAGAGAAAACTTAAGGTATTTTTGTGATTCTATTCAACTCCAAATGAAGAAATGAGATATATTTATTATTAATTTAATTTATTCATCATAAAATAATCTGGTTATAAGTAGATATGATTTTAAAATAGATGTGATTTTAAAGACATGTTATGTCAGAGAGTTAAGAGTCTGATTTTTTTTATTTTTTTTTAGTACTGGGTTTGTTTGTTGTGCTGTCTGAACGTACGGTAAAATTAAGGTAAGGAAAACGAGAGAAATAACTAATATTTAATAAATAGAAGTACCTATCCGTGACAAAATCCTGGTTTGGATAACAAAAAACTGTTTGTTGGTTTATAGTTATTTGCTGAGTTTGGTGGAAAATATGCAATTTCCCTGAAAACCTTTTCTTTGACCATAAATTCTTTTAAATATTTTGCTTGATAATATTCTAAATTAATAAATAAAAGGGAACGGCTCCCTAGATAAAAAACATAAATATTTTTTTAAGCTTTAAATGTATAATACACATATTTTTAAAAATAAATAAATACCTATGCTTTTAAATTTATTATATTTTTTATTAAGTATTAAGAAAATCATTAGAAATGTTTTACAAAGATATAACAAAAAAAATATTTTTTTTTTGGGTAAACAACAAAAAGAATATTTTTATTAAGACTAGTAGTTAGCTTTATCTTAAAAATATATTACATTACTTTAAACTTTTTTACTCTAACCCAAAAAAATAAAAATAAGCTGTGCTATAATAAAGGTAAAATTTTAAATAGAAAGTTAAAAGAATAATTCTATATCCTTTTAAATATTAAAAGAAAACATTAAATATTTTAAAATTTTCTAAGGCATTAAATGCTTCTAATTTTTTAAAACTTATTATTTTAAGTTTTTGAAAGGATTTAACATAACATTGCCTAATAAAATAATATTTTTTGAAAGGGAAAAGTGTTTGTCATTTTAAATGATATAAAGTTATGTCATTTTAAGAGAGAAATAGACACCGAATATATTTTTTTATTTAAATTTTAAATTAAAAAACCATTCACTTTCTCTCTTCCATGATTTTCATTTTCTGTGTTTATCTCTCTCCTAAAATGATATAACTTATGTCATTTAAAATGACAAACACCAAGCCCTTTTTGAAATCAATAAAAATAGAGATAGGATATTATATCGGCTTTTTTTTATACCTACTTCTTTTAAACATTATTATACCATAATCTTAAAAGAAGAGAAAAATGATGAAGAATAATTAAGATTATAATATAACGTTGTTATTGGGAAAGAGTATGTAGAATAGAAATGAAAATAAAGTAGTCAAATATTTTATCCCATAAAAATATATCGTTAACTAAAACTAAAAATTAAAAAATTAAAAATAAATAAGCACCTCCTAAATTTTTTTTCTTTGGTATTGAGATTTTTACAAACCATTAAAGTTATTTCTATTACTTTACAATCAATATTTGAAATTGACATAGTCTAATTAATAATTAATATACAGTAAGCATTTGTTTTTTATTTAAAATAGAATATTATGTCTACTTTTTTCATGCCTATTTGACCTACTTCTTCTAATATGTTAGATTACAATCTTAATTCACTTTCACATTTTCTTTCTTCTATGGTTATTAATTGAGATTATCATTTATTTTTGGGATATGACGTTATACCTATCTTTTTTTTATCTACTTTACTTACTTATCTCCTTTTTAGTATCATTAGATCACAATCTCAAAAGAAAAGAAAAGAAAATGAAGTTGAAATTATAATTTAAGCATGTCAAAAAAAAAATCGATAAAATAGACCAAAAAAAGTAGATAAATATAATATTTTATCTATCTTACCCTTCTTTATTTTTTAGCCTTTCAATGAAACTTTGAATTAAAAAATAAATGAATAAAAAATAAAAAATAAAAACGGAAATAGATTATCATGAGTGTGGTTTCTGATACATGCAGCATCGCCAGCTATTTCAAAGTACGACTCAGTTCCCTTTCACGCCATAATTACTACAAGAGGACCACGTATGTCTCATCAAATTTCTCAACTGTTTTGTGTCTTATTTGTTGAATATTTAAGACAACAATACTGTCAATACATTTTCTGATAAATAATTGGGAATATAATTTTTTTATCATGAGACAAAATTATCTCATATATACAAAAAAATAGATGAGATTCATTTTTTTCTCTTTTTTTAGTGAGTTTTATCCACTTTTTTGTATATGCATGATCAAAATTATGTACATGAGAAACTATATTTCCTAAATAATTTTAAAATAATTAATTAAAAATTGAAAATATATTAAAATAATGATAAAAAAAAACACAACGAATTCCTTATTGAAGAATTATTCGAGAATTACATTTCATATTTTTATTTAAGATAATTTTTTTGAAATAATTAACTTATCTTTAAGATGAATAAAAAATATATTTATCATAAATTTAATTCAAAATATATTTTCATTTTAATATATTAAATTTATTGATAAATACACAATTTATTGTTCACTTTAAAAATAAACTCACTCAAATAAATTGTCTCTTATATATATATATATATATATATATATATATAGTAATATGAATCATTTGATATATTATTATTTGTTGATTATATTTAATAAGCTTTAAAAAATTAATATAAGAACTAATGTACAATTAATAACTCATTAAAGTATCAATAAAAAATTAAAGTTGTTTAATAACTCCCTTTTGTGGGAGATCATAAGACAACGTATAAACTTTTGTAAAAAAACATTTTTGTATTTTTGTTCACATTCAAAAATATATTTAGTTACCAAACAATGGTAACTCAATTAGTAATAAGAAAGTTGAGTAAGTGAAAAGAAAAAGGTTTTAGTTTGATTCACATATATCATTTTTGTGAGGGGTTTAAATATCTTTTTCTTTGACTTGCTTCGCACTTTGAATTAGTCTAATCATCAGCTCAAAGAATCGAAACTTATAGGGATATATCAGAGAGAGCCAATACACTTCAAAGAAATAATTAGGATTG